GCGTCTGTATGAGACCCCTTAGTGCATGACAAAGGGTTAATGTTTGATGAGTAAACAATGAACCGGCTTCAATTTCCAGAAAACACTCCCAATCAGCGTCATGTGCAGAAGTGTGCTGTGCAGGACTAAGTGCGTCAGGATCATTCTGCTGAGATAAAAACAACAAGCAGAAACCTTCAGGGTTGATAATTAAAGCCATCGCATCGCATCCTCTTTGATTTAAAGCGTGCCAAATGTGAACACCCAAAGCAGAGACTCTTTGTGCTACTGTTTTATCACCAGACTGTAAATCGTAAATAGCGGACATTTATTTACTCTTACTTTAATGGTCCCTGAATATCATCTCGGCCACCGCAGTCATCACTTTCTTCACCAGTCCACCAGTGGTGAATGGCTTCTTGTGCTTTGTTAGGATGAAATGATGCCTCTGTTGTCGGGTTGGCCTTCTTCGTTGGTTGCAGACTAGGGATTGCTATTCTTTAAGTGTTTCTTTAAGCATATTGAGTTTATAGCGCTGCCTGCAAGGAAGTCCCTGGGTTAAGTGGACTTTAGTGTGGTGGTGCCCCGCATTACTTCTTTTGCTCACTGAGACACTGATCCCACAGATGAGGCACACACACTTGGCCTTTTCATCCATGGAAAAAACGTACTCTCCCTGTGGCTTACAAAGTTGTCCATCATAAATCTGACTAACAGGCTGGCTCCTGCTAGTTCAGCTAGCATACACTGTAACCGATCGACCTGTAGATGGAGGTTGCTGCTTCATTTTTCTGCGACTGGTTCAGTTCAGACTTTGGTAAAAAAATGACACAAGCATCGCCTTTTTATTGACAGCTGATAGGCTGGTCCAATTGTTTTATATTATAGGGGCTGGACATCTGTGTATTTGATTGAATTGAATAATGAAAATGGCTTTCAAGGTTATACTAAAGCGCAGAGCCAGTGACCAAACTGCCACGTTTGAGAATTGGGATAGAGATCGTTTTGGACATACCGTCATTGAGCCGAGTGTGTTCTGTGCAACAATGTGCTCATGTAAGTCACACAGTCACAGCATGGGGACTTATCTCCCATTTGGGGATAATAGGGCTGATCCCACAGGGTTTCATGCAGTTATTGCTGTTAAGGTCGGTGTAAGCCTCCAGAGAGTGAATGTAAGCTGATATACTGTCCTCTAAAACAACAATAATGTGCATGTGTGTTTGTGTTTCTCCCTCTCTCTGTGCAGGAGTTTGCCTCGGTGTGTGTCCTCTCCACCCTGCAGTCCACGCTCACTCTGTGGTCTCTGCGCGGCCTCAGCCTGCCCATGTACGTCGTGTTCAAGCGCTGCCTGCCGCTCTTCACGCTCAGCATTGGCGTGTGTGTGCTGAGGAACGGCATCCCTTCATTTGGGGTGGTGACTGCTGTGGTCATCACAACTGGTGGAGCTGCACTAGCTGGTAAATAGATATTATACAGATACCACATGCCTCACTGGCTTTGCAGTGTCCCCCCTTGTTTTGTTCTATTATTATTTTGCAGCATATAATGCATTAAGTTGCAGAATCTTTCGAAATGTTTTTACTTGTTTTAAATGCCCCTCCCCCGAAAAAATCAATTCCTTCTGTTTTACTGAAAGAAATAAAAGGGACTTTAATCACAATCGTACTTTGCACAAGAAATAGAAAACATGAAATCTGAGTTTTAACAACATTTTATTTGTATTCATAAAATGATCAGTTAAACAGCATTTCCTCATATGTAAAGCTGTTCAAGTTTCAGTCATTTCTGGTCCTGTAAAGATCCTTTAATCATTTTTCCAGCAGTAAAATCTTCTCTTTCATTACTGTTAATGATCCTGAGCTCATAAACAAAAATACTACAGATAGTCCATTTCCTGGATCAATCTCCTCTGTTGCTGCTCTCAGTGCTCCTCACACAGGAGGGGGGTCCAAACGTTAAGTGTGAAATGTGCAGAATATGATTCTAATGGACACATTAATCATTCTTGGTTTAATCTTTGTGATAATCGCCTTTCCTCTCCGTTAAGAAACCAGTGTAATCATCTTCCAGCAGCATGTGGATAAATCCGGAGAGATAAGCTATTCCGTCATCGTTCTGCATGTACGTCGCACTAAAATTGAATTCTAAGTCAATTTTGCCTCCAGACTCTTAAGGAAAAAAAACATCTGCAGATGTTCCAATGAATGTCCACAAAACTTTTAAATCTAGAGTTCAGGATGAGTGCCTTAATGAAGGTCTTTCTTTGGTCCCTCAAGTGACCAATGTCTTTTAATCATGACCTTTATTGTTCCCAATGCTTTAAGCATTTTTCTCACAAATTACTGTGGAACACTAAATTACACTTGGTCATACAAATCGTCTTTGGACAGTTTACCAACTTCTTTCTTAAGTATGTTTCCTCAACCATTGGTCCCTTAAAATCGGCTTCTAATGTCACAGCTTCCCAATCTCCAGGCTTTTCTGACCTACGTATTTAAAACAGCTTTGGTCTCTTCCCTCCGAAGAAAGACAAACCAAGACTCTTCAGTTCCTTCGCTGACAATCACCATTCCTTTCCAGAGTCATAGAAAAATGTGTATACCACTAGCTAAACACAAATCACAGAAGCTACAATCTTCACAGCTTCTTCAGTTCACAGCTGGGTGCTGATTCAAGTACGGTGTTATGATCATATTGGAATTTAGACTTTCCCCAAGGGCAAATTCTTTTCCACAGCACAGTTACTGTCCAAACAGACAAGTCCCACCAAAGAACATTCATACACAGACAAACAGAGTATAACACAACAAACAGAATTAGACAACAGTCAAAAGTTCCCATTCTGGCCTGTTCAGCGAAGCCTTTTGTTCAGGGCCGTTATTACAGCAGGGATCAGGCTCCTCCCGAGGCGAGCCTTTCTGCACCTCAGTGCTCTGTACCTCCGTCCTGAGGGGAGTGGGGTGAGGTGAATGTTCAGTGGGTGTGTCATGTCCTGTTTTATTGAGGCTGCAATGCGTGTGATGGCCCTGTTATTGAGTTCTGTTAGGTTGGGTGTGGGGAGACCGATTATTCTGGCAGCTGTGGTTGTGATGCGTGTGAGTTTGGCCTTGTTTTTTACAGACAACATGTTAAAGAAGCAGATGGAACAGTACAGTAAGATGGGCAGGATCATGCTCTGATATAGCAATTGGGCTCCACCTTATGACTCCATTGATAATACTGTCTTCTTAAACCATCTGTAGTACAGTATCCATAGCTCTTGTGTTTTCCTGAGGGGTCCACCTCCTAACATATTGATAGATAGATCTTGGAAAACATAGGAGTGTCTTTGTCTGTACCTAGCTAATCTTGAGTATGGTGTCCCCCAGGGCTTAATTTTAGGACCTATACATTTCTCCCTTTGCATGTTTCCCTTGGTTGATATAGCATGTAAACATTAGGGCTAGGAATCATAGCCTTATTCATGATACGATACGCGATATTTGGCTAAAGATAACAATAATATCACAATTAAGCGATTCTGCAATAATTTACATGTTGCAAGTTAATCATATAGGGAAAAATTGGATTAACAGAGGCCCCTTCAAAGGTAAAATGCAGGATTAATGTACTTTTTTCGCTTCAATTTAGTGTCAGTTTTTACTCTTTTATTAACTAATTTTCACCAGCAATTTGATAATTCTACTAGAAGAGTCAGGGTGAAATATTGCCATATTGATATAGTGATATTATGACTATTGCAACTTTCTGCACATGTCTTTCCAAGAACAGTATCCATTACAGTTTTGGGATTATATTAGGTCTGGAGTTCTGTGTGTTTTCGGTGTTTGTTGCACAGTCTCACTTTAATTCTAAGTTTCCAGCCCACATACAGACTCAGGATTAATCCTCCATCTTTCTCTTTCGTCCTCCGCCTACTCCATTGTCTGACTTCATTTATCTACTCTTCTGATTCCTCTTCCTGCCCCGCTAAAAACTCCCACACTCTTCCCTTCTGTCTTTCTCCCCTTTTTGCTGTTCTATTTTTACGGTTTCCTCTTTTGTAAAACACTGATGTGTGCATGAGGGAAGTTAGGTCCAATGCATGTTTTGAAAATGAAGCTAAGCACATCAGGGCTAAGGTTTGAGAAATGGTATTCCAGAGTTTTTAGTAAAAATCAAGTATAGCTTGGAGAATTCCTATCACTATACTGAAATCCTGTTGTGCAACCTTAAGTTTTAACCTTTTGTTTTTCTTCAGGCGCTGGTGATCTCACCGGCGATGTGTTCGGTTATATCACCGGTGTGTTGGCGGTCATCATCCACGCTTCCTACCTGGTCCTGATCCAGAAGACCAGCCATGACAGCGAGTACGGACCACTCACAGCGCAGTACTCCATTGCCATCATGGCCTCACCGGTAGGGGATCTCGACAGTGCATGTACATTACGATAGGTTTAGGTTTGATATCCACTGAAGGGTATTCATCCTCTCTTTGTACTCATCATTGCCATATCATTTTGATAACTTTATAGCTCTTTCTCTTTGGTCGTTCCCTCCTGATTTCTTCCTCTATCCCTTTCAAATCTTTTTCTCTTTTTGTTTCTCTACCTTCTGTTCTTAACTACCAACTTTTGTTGAAGGCCTCTCTCGCTGTCTTAATCTGTTTTCTCTTTACTTTTGCACTCTCTTAATGTCTTTTTCTCCTTCTTCCCCTGACCTTAGTTACCCGTTTCCTTTTTTTGTCTTTTGTCTTCTCTCAGGTGCTTCTGGTGTGCTCCCTCATCTCCATGGACACCATCAACATGTGGACCTACGAGGGTTGGAAAGATCCTAACATCACAGTCATCTTCGTCTTCTGCATCTTCATCGGCTGTGCCATGAACTTTACAACACTGCACTGCACCTACATCAACTCCGCCGTGACCACCAGCTTCGTCGGGGTGGTGAAGAGCATCGCCACCATCACTGTCGGCATGCTGGCCTTCAGCGACGTCGCTCCGACGGGGCTGTTCATCGGAGGCGTGGTTGTCAACACCGTCGGCTCCATCACCTACTGTGTGGTCAAGTACTTTGAGACGAAGAAGAAGAGCTTGTACGAGGACCTGGAGGGGTCTGGGAAAGATGGTGGTCTACCTGGGGAGCCCTACAGAGAGAAACCCGCACTGAATGGCGACGGGCCGGCTGACGGATCTGATCCAGGAAACCAGGAGATGGAGGGAGTGTTGACCAGCGATGTGAAAGAGGAGGAAGCGCCAACAGGCTTGGCTAACGGAGAGGTGTGGAAAGGAGACAAGGAAGCAGGGGTGACTTCCCGAGTCATGACCGACGAGGAGGCGCTGGAGATGCAGAGGGAGCACATCCAAAAGGAGAACCCCACCTCCTCCAATCAGTCTGCTAGTGACAGCTATGTCGGGGTGTGGAGGTCAATTAGAAATCTTCAGTTTATGAAGAAAGACCCTTTGATTGATAACATGGAGCAGCAGAGTCCGTAAGGGCTGGACAGAGACCTGGACAGATTCTGGTGAAGAAAATATGAATGGATTAAAGGATTTAGGAAAGTGCCAAACATGCTGAAGAAAACAGAGGAGAGGAAACATGACATGGGCAGAATAGAAAAGACAAACGGTCCGTCGGGAGCCTCTTTGATTCCTACTAGAAGTGCTGAACAAAAGCTTGTTGGGTACACTGGTTATGTTTGCTGCTGTTGCTGTGATACCTCAATGGAATCCCAGGCGTTTGTGCTAAAAAAGTTTTATTTCATCACGGAGCTTTGAGTGCAGAGAACATGCTTTTGGTTTTGTTGAAAGCAGGGAACAAGGTAATTTTCTTCTTTTTATACGCTGAGAATAAAAAAAAGAGGTTCCTGTTGAAGAGAAGTGGATGAAGAGTTTTGGGAGAAGCTGCCTGACTGTGATAAATTCTGCCTCTTGTCTTGCTTCTGCTCTGTGGCATCCAGCGGGGGACCAGGCTAACCTCGGTGTAGCATGATTCGGTCTGGCGTGCGTCCCCGCTGATAAACCAGCTAGCCACAAAAAGAGAGTGCATCCTGTGCAAACATGACATTCATTCAGGGAACTGCAAAGACACCGCAGACAACTTAACTTGTTTTGTGTTATTAAAAAAAAAATGTAGGTGAATTCTTGTTTCTGATTGGCTGGAGGCTGTGAATTAAAAACCTTTTTTTGGATGCACATGTGGATGAATTCAACGTCACCTGTCAGAGCATGCACTTCCACAGATGCTGAGTAATCAACGCTTATGTTTGTTTGAGTCTAAAAATCAGTTTGTTTGTCGTCTAACTCTGATCCTGCAGGTTCTCTGTCACGCCTTGTTAACTGTTTGTTTACTGTGTATGTGTCCGTGTCAGCTGGTCCGTTGAATGGAGTGGAAGTTAATTACTGATAAAAACGAGTGATAACACAGGCCCTTTATGTACAGAGCGTTAGTGGTGCCGCCAGGATTAAATGTCATAGTACGTACAAGAACCATGTGTGTAGGACACCTTTATCTTCTAGGTTTCCACACACACACATATATGATCACAATGACTGAGCGAGCAAGAGAAAGAGAGAAAGACAACACCAAAACTCAACAACACAAATAGCCAGACACCTGACCTTAAAGACAACCCCCGGCTAGATATTGGGAACAATGTTATGTAGTATTATAAACCATTAAAGCTATTCCAGAGAAGTGAAGTAAAAGTTAGCACTGAGCTTGAATCCAGTCGGCTACATGCCCTCTTTAGTTCATCAGCCGTAATAAAGCCGATGTCACCTGGAGAAGCTGAGGTAGCTCATACTGTGGCTGTTTGCTGCTGCGTGGGGAAAATATCTGACTTTTCTTGGCTTTAAAACACAGTCACTGATGGAGATATTTGAGATCCTAGAATGCTCTAGGACTTCATCATGAACTAGCTAGCTTCTGTCTTCTGTCGTACCACAGAAGGCAGCAGCCAGCTAGTCCCTTTCTTGCTAGCAATGCTAACATTAGCAGCCTGTGCCAGTATTACACTCGGTACGACCTTCACTGCAGAGCTGCTTTTTATTTCTAAAAGTCTGATTTTTTTTTGCTCTTTTCTATCCTTCTCATCACAGCTAATTTCACTGTTCAGCACAGAAATGTTTTAATATAACGCTAATCACGCACCTTCGGATGTATTTACGTCGCGATGTTGGTGAGTGGACGCAGCCACAGGCTGAAACTCCAGAACAGAACAAATAAAAGAAAGGCAATAAGAATTAAGCACAGGAGCTGCCGTTATCACAGTTTAGTTTTCATAAAAATAAATTATACCAGATTCTACATTTAAAGGCAGGGTTGGTTATTTTCGAAAACTAGCATGATTTTGAAAGTAGCATTCCCTCAGTGCTCCGTCTGCACCCCCTCCCCTCTGTGTCCCTTCCTTATAAGCCACGCCCCCTCACTTACATGCAACCGTCCCTCCAGAAGTGGACCTCAGCTCATCTCTTGCATTGTGTAGAAACTACGTCGTCTCATGTCTCATTCAGCGGTCAGTGAACTCACAGGATAAACTCCATCATCACGCTTTGAGTGTGAGCTAGAGCACGTAAGAGATAGAGAGAGAGCAGGGAGACAGGGAGGCGTCTGATTGGTTCATCAGATTGGTACCTCGTGGAAGACATTGGTTGAAGTTTTTACAGGATTACAAACTGATACAGATGTCGGATTTTCTTTGTTCCTTTTTCAGAGAACATGAGTTATTAATTTCTGTCAGGACCTAAAGACAATTTCAACTAAAATCTTAAAAAGTGGATCTGGAGGACATTACCAACCCTGACTTTAATGTAGTATCTGAATTAAATGTTGATTTTTGTGTTTAACTCCCACACTGAAAATTTCCTCTTCATCAAAGGGGTCTCTTTCCAAAAAGATAAATACAAAGCCTGACCGAAGGTGTCTTGAATTGTGAGGGAAGAAAAAGCTGTCAACCGGTGATATTGATTGGTATTGATTTTCCTTCACACAGTCCCCAAACGTCATTTAACGGTACAAAAGATCTGATGTCCCCTCGAGCTGCTACAAACAGGGTGTGTGGGCTGTTTGAAGCTGCCTGCCTGGCGTCCATGTTATTCTGGCTTTTTACTAAAAAAAAAGATAAAATATAGCTGTTTTAAGCATGATGTGTGGTTTGTTTGGTGCATCAGGTATGATTTGGGTTGATTATGGAATGTCGATAAATGTAATGTTCTGATTGAAGATGCCAAAAGAGCATGAATGTATTTGACGTTTTTATTTTGGTCCTTGTTACATCCAAAGCTTGTGAATCACTGCAAAAACCGCCCGGATGTTTACACGAGTTGAAATAAATAAAAAAATCAAGTTTCAAAGTGTTGTATATATTAAGGAAGGTGGCGTTCAATCATTCTTCACATATCTAAGTTTTTTTAATAGATGCCACTGCACCTCAGCTGGACATGCATCATATGTCAGTGAAGGAGTCAGGGGGCACTGACTTATTGGTAATTCTAATAAGTAAAATAAGACTTATTTTACCATTAAAGGGGACATAATATGAAAAATCCACTTCCTCAGTGTTTCTGAACATATATTTGGGTAACCTGAGTGTCTACTGACCCACAACATGTGAAATAAACCCATCCAGTCCTTTGTTTGTGGTCGGCATAAGTCTTACAACACAGAGAACAATGCTCTGTTTCTAATGTGCTCATGGGGTCATTACATTTAAAGAGACACACACACCAAAGGAGGAGGCGTGGCCAAACAGCAGTTTGTTTTGGTTTTGGTTTCATGCTGGTGCTCAGCGGGGACACTAGAACAAAAAGTTGCACGTTCTTTCTTTAATTATCTAAATGGTGTTGCGTTCCTGTGTTAATTAAAGGAACTTTAAAGAGTAACACAACAGAGTGGCAACATGTAAAACATCTCAGCTTCATTTTCTAATGACTCATAAGGACGGTGTTTTTCCAAAAGGTTTGCACATTAGGGGAATGATTGGTTGAAACAGAAATGGTTTAATACTTGTTTGATAAAATCACTGCAAACACAGTGCAAAAAATTACAATAAATCATGTTAACGCTAAGTATTTAAAAGCAGTAGCTGAAAGTGAATTTAATTTAATTCATATGGAAACCATGACCTTGACGACCGAAAACCTAAACAGACATGTTTTTTTTCATTTGCAATTTTAAAACTGTGTGTTTTGTTGTTTGGTTGCATTTAGGAAACTGTATACAAATATGCTTTCTGTTCTGTTTGCCTCTACTTTAAAGGTTTTATCACCAAACTAACAAGGCTACCTAACGAGGCTAACTTACAAGGCTAACAACTAACTTTTGAAAATAAACTAAAAAAATAAAAAAATTCAAAATAAAAGTAAGCAACAACCAAAGGAAAAAGTTTGTGTTTTGAGTTGAATCCAGTCATCTTTCGGGTAGAAAAATAATAATTGGACAACTTGAGAGTCACAGTTTTAAGTACCACCAAAAGGAAATGTTCTTTATTGAGATGCAAAGAAAGCGACTACTGTAGCAGCACACCGTGTGGCCTTGGTAGTTGATTTTAACCTAACCCTGCATTCATGTGGTGTCGGATACCACGGAAAAAGACGTTTCTGAGTTTGAAAGTGCACATAAACAACTGCTTAAGTCAGAAAAACAACTTGGAACATCAGGAAAGAATGAGGTGCTCGACTTGCAGACATCATTTTTGTCATCTCATGGCGTGCAAAGATGTTGTTTTTAATGTTAAGGTACATTCAATTCACATATTGCACATCAACATCTTCCTTAAATATAACTTCTAACAGTGACATTTAACACATATTTCTTCAAAGCGTCCACACTGTTTGTTTTTGTTACAACATTCAGACTCTACAAAGTGAAGACACTGAAGTCAGGAAGAACGGCTTCGCAACTCGGAAACTGGGACTATATAAAACAATGCTTTAAGTTTATTAAAACCTATGATATATTCATTTATTAAATAAGCTTGCAGATAAGTCAATATTTTTGTCACTCACAAAAACAAGCTAAAAAGTGTAATTTCCTTCCAAATCCCAATACACAAAAAATATATATATTGACCTAATTCTGACCACAAATGTATACATTTAGTATTCATGTACTCAACCAAAGTATTTAAAAAGTGATGTCGTTACAAAATGTAATTTTGCAGCAAGGTCCTTGCTCAAGTTTTTTTTAGAGGTCCTCACAATACACATAAACCAACACACACATACACACAGAGGCCGTCTTTGGCGGATGTTAAATCATTCTTCCGAGTCTGAGAGAGAAATTAAAGCTAAGAAATGAATACTACCAGGATCCTTTTATTGTTATGATGATGTTTTTTATATCTTTGCACGTTACTTTATTTCCCGTGTTCTTTATTGTTCCTAAGAAGAAGTGAAAAGGAACATCTGCTCCTCACTTTGCATGTTCATTGCAGAGTAAATTGAAAATCTTTATTTCTTTGTTATATAAAGATGGGATGTGTTGTTTGTGAGAGGGGGAAACCCTGTTTACTGAGGTGTTTACTGAGGTGTTTCCACGGCGATAAAGGTGTTTCCATCTGCAGACGGCATTGAGGGAAGCGGTTCACTGCACAAAACACAGGCATCAAGATTTCCCTCCGCTGACACACAGGCTTGATGAGATTGTTATTTTTATGATATGGGTTATTATGTTTGTGTAGTGAGTGTTAGAGAGGAGGTGTTGTTGCTCTTTGAAGCTGAATGTTTCATCATCACGGCAGAAATCGTTATCGTCCTCGAGGCAAAAAAAACCCCACACTCCTCTGTCTGGTTCTCTAGGATCTTTGTTAGAATCACAAGACAATCAGCTGTTTGCTCTGATGGGTTTGGTGATAAGACTCCCAGAATTACCAAGATCTGAACTAAAGTTAAAACTTTAATGTTCTCCAAGTCTTAGAAATAAGATTTGTTCATGGATGTGAATATCCATTTTTCTCCAATCATCAGCACTATCCCAAAGTAGTGAAAGCACTTGGTTAGTGTGCAGCTGTGATGAAAACATTGTGCAGGAATCCTGCTGGGACTGATGGTGTTATTTCCATCCATTATTGACCAGATACTAAATGTGTTAAGAAAATGTGCCACATTTTTTGTTCTGTTTGAGGTAGAACCAAAAGATTTGGTATGGAGACAATCAGAATCAGAATCAGAAATACTTTATTAATCCTAGGGGGAAATTTGGTGACACAAACAATATACATAGCAAAACAAAACCAAATAAAACATTTTGATTTCACATATTTATCATGCACACACTACAAGAAAATAGGGCCAATTCCGGGCCCGGATCCCCACTTCCAAAAGTCAGCGAAACGCTCCCTTTATCTGATGGTTCAAAAGATGATCTGGCCAAATGTTCCTGTGGTGTGAGGTGTGTTAGGAGTGATTTTAACCTCCCGACAAAGATGCCGCCCTGATTTTAAATTGTAGCTAACAAACATATTCAATGTGACCACATTTTGTATCGCTGTTTTGTTTTGTTGTGTTCTTTTATACAATGGCAATAAAGTGCCTATCTATCTTGATTTCCTTGAAGTTCCTAGGCCCTAGCACCTAGGGAGTCTGCAGTCCTTACATCTAGAGGAAGCTGTTTCACCATTAAGATCACTAAAAGCTGATGGTTTCATTGGTTATGAATGGTTATAAATTAAACTCTGCATCTCCGGAATGTTCTTGCCACAATAATCTACAGATTTTTTTTCTCCATACACTAGTGGTGTTAAAAACAGAGATTCAATCAAAGTACAATGCTGATTTATTCATGCATTCCTGTCGCAATTCCCTGAGAAACCTCACTGATGCTTTTCAGATGTTTCTCTGAAAATAATAAAACCTGCAGCATGTGTAGCGGGCCAGTGCGGCTCAAAACAAAACTGAACTCAAAACTCTCATCTACTTTCTTTAAAGGAAGTCTTGAAGGTTGGAAGACGAGTGAGGTACTGGGAGAAAATTGTCCCGCTGGGAGGCACACTCAGCACTTTGCTGCTGGAAAATCCACCCGAAAACTGCCCTTCAAGAGCATCAGAACACACACACACACACACACACACACACACACCTGCACATAATGGGACAATTTGCAGGTTGTCTGGCCACTGATAACGAGCCATCAGCAGGAAAATATAGTGACTGAGACTCATTTGGTGGGTAGAAGAGGAGGAAGTGTTTGAATGACGGGGAGGGAAACCAGGTGTGGGGAAGTAAAATATAAAGAGTGAAAGACACGTTTTGACATCCTGCTTTTTATCTTTTCAGTACGATGGATTTGGCTCCTGTTCAGACAGAAACAGCATTTATATTGAACATCAGCAGAACAGGCAG